CTGTCAGGCCATTGATATAGTTTACCGCTTTTTCTTTCCAATCCTTATACAAGATATATTTATTATCTATTTTTATTATCGTTTTACCAAATTCCCTGTGAAAGAATACCAAAATCGCAATTTTCTTTCACTTTCATGGGTTTCTTAAAAACTATTTGCGGGCGTTTTATGCCTCAATCTTTATTTTCACATACATTTAAACTTCATTCATTTCATCTGGTTTATTTCCGCAAATGAACTTGAAGTATCGCTTTTAAAACTGATCTATAACACAGTCAGGTGGGTATTGCTGAAAACAATTGATTGAGTTCTGGTAGAATGAAAGATTTTAATATTTTCCTTTGCTCAAAACTTAATTCAACTAATATGTGGCGTTATAAAAATATTTCGCCCAAGGGTGAGAATATTTTCCTCAGCTCAAAACTCATGTTTTTCTTTTGCAAACAGATAAAGGTGTGTGCATCATGACACATAATTCAACTTTTTAAAATTAATTCAACTAATTTGTGGCGTTATTGAAATATTTAGCCCAAAGGCGAGAATATTTTTCTTTGCTCAAATCTCATGTTTTTCTTTTACAAATACATAAAGGTCCGCTACAAGCATCATGACACATGATTCAACTAATTTCAAGTTAATTCAACTAATTTGTTGCGTTATTGAAATAGTTCGCCCATGTTTTGGTCGAGGCCACAGAACGGAATCTGCCGCATCTTTTGTCTTGTGTATTGTAGTAAAATTTTAACGGCCTACGCTTGTAAGTGAATTTTACGTGCCATATACCTTCTATTGATGACACTTGGTTATTAAGTGACACTGGGTGTGCAATCTACAGGTACACATTTGCGTATTTTAAAGAAAAAGACAGATTTACGTCTTTTATTGCATAACGTCTGGCTGAATATCTCATATATTAAGCACAAAGACACAAAATGTTTATGAAAGATGCCTTGATATATTCAACAAGAACGAATCTTGTATTTTCTCCGCGATCTTGAAGTGTATCATCGTTTAATGGGTCATTCAATAAAAGTAAAACCGCATAGGTAGTATGTAGTTAATTGAACCTGACTACACAAAAAATCCGGTGTAAAAAATTGGATATATGTTATTGGAAAATGTTGGTGGCCTGATATTCGACAAAGGGTGCGTCAAAACGCAGCCATTGTCGATTTGCAATGCCTTGAACAGCATTGTTTTCACACTTGTTCACAAATGTCAGTAAAGCAAAATGCACATGCAAGTTTTGGCATTCGTAAGTCGTGGCAGTGGCTATAAAAAGGCAAGCATAAGCCAATAATTTGTAGCTCAATTGTCAAGTTCGAAAATGCCGAGACTCAGCGCTGTCGATCGGAATATCGCAATAGGACGTATCCAAAGAGGGGAATTCGAGTCTTCTGTTGCACGCCTCTTCAACGTCCACCACAGCACCATTTGCCGCCTTTGGGACCGATACTTACAGTTCAATTCCACTGCAGACCGACCGAGAACCGGCCAAACAAGAGTTCAGTCGACTGTTCCACCTACGTCACCGTAATGCCACAGCTACGGAGACCGCAGGACGCATCCCTGATTTAAAGAGGATATCAGACCAGACTGTCAGGAACCATCTTCGCGAGGCTGGAATCCGACCCAGAAGACCAGTTATCGTCCCTGTTTGGCAACAGATCCATCGACATCGACACTTGCGTTGGTTCCATACCTTACAGCCTTGGAATTTGAGAAACAGGAGACTAGTGTGGTTTATCGATGAATCACGATTTCTTCTTCACCGGCGAGATGATGTTTTCTTGTTGTCGAAATGAGCCTTTTGCCTTACATTGTGTACGTGAATTTGACAATTTCGATGGCGGTAGTGTCATGGTGTACGGGGCCATATCCTACATGACGAGATCTGACTTGGTTGTGGTTCAAGGAAATTTGCAGCAAATCGCGACATGTATCAAATTCTTCACCCTCACCTTCTTCCAATTATTGACCACCAGATGGAGCTGTTTCAACAGAACAATGCTCCACCGCATACAGCTCGTGTCACGGTAGCCTATCTCCACAATGCCAACATCAACGGCTTGCCCTGGCCGTCGAGATCTCCAGATCTCAACCCAATCGAACACCTCTGGGATGAACGCTCTCAGAAGACGCCGCAGACACCCCTACAACTGACCAACACGTTACAAGCAAAATGGCGCAGAATTCCGAAGGACAGAATTCGTACACTTATCCAGTCAGCGCCGAACAGATGCAGAGCCGGGTCTGACACCGGGGCGGTCACAAGAGATACTGATTCAGCGTAACCTTGTGGCCTTATGTGACATGACAATGAACAGTTTTCAATGCCTTTGTACACCGACAACATGTGACTATCGAGCACCAAAATTGCATATTTGTATCTTTTATATTAAATTAAATATATCGACTTTTTTAGGTACAATGAATTAACTGAAAATCTACCTATGCGTTTATTTTTTTTAACAGTGTATGTTTGGAGGCGATATCAAAGGAGCCGCCCAACAGACAGTGTTGTCCGCTTCGCGTGATCTACCACCCCACTCTCTTGCTTTCATGTCACAATATTCACTCAATTTTTCCTCAATCGGCTTCAAACATAATTCCAATTGGTCAATACACCTCATATGAGAAATAATTATTCCGAGATTTCGTTAGAATGTGAGATATTCAGCCAGATGTTGTGAAATGAAAGACGAATCGGTTTCTTTCTTTAAAATACGCACATGTGTACCTGTATATCGCATACCATAATTAATTAATCATTGAATTACCCAGTGTGATCAATGGAAGGAACATGGTACGTAAAATCCACTTAAACGCATAGGCCGTAAACATTTTACTACAATACACCAAACCAAAGATGCTGCAGACTGGGTTCTTCCGTTCTGTGGCCTCGTTTTTGTATGTCATCATAAACAATGTAACGAATAGAAATGTAACAACGAGACATAAAATGGGAAATGATAAAGAAAATTAACCATGTAAACTTTAATGTTGTTGATGATAATGCCAATGAATTGGAGTACACTAGCATGAATTCGGATGATAAACTATAAATATATGTTTTGAGGTGAGGCTGGGTTTATAAAAGATCGTTACGATATGTACAAAAGGTAAAACTTGTATAAGTTCTATAAAGATAATATTCAACCAAAGGCCCATTTTAAATAGTAATGTAATAATATAATTGAAAGTATGTTTCACATGATACAATATACTTTGCACACAGGTAGTTAATGTTTCAAAGAGACCGACCACAACATGGGCGAAATAGTTTAATAACGCCACAAATTAGTTGAATTACGTTAAAACTAGTTGAATCATGTGTCATGATGCTTGTAGACACACCTTGATGCATTTGCAAATGAAAAACATGTGTTTTGAGCACAGGAAAATATTCTCGCCCCTTGGCGAACTATTTTTATAACGCCGGAATTTAGTTGAATAAAGTTAAAATGAATTGAATCATATGTTATGATGCTTGTAAACACACCTCTATGTGTTTGTAAAAGCGGAACATGTGTTTTGAGCAAAGGAAAATATTCTCGCCCATTGGCCAATTCTTTTCATCCATGGGCGAAATATTTTAACAACGCCACAAATTAGTTGAATAAAGTTAAAATGAGTTGAATCATGTGTCATGATGCTTGTAGACACAACTTTATGCATTTGCAAAAGAAAAAAACATGGGTTTTGAGCAAAGGAAACTATTCTCGCCCATGGGCGACATAATTCAAATTTTGAGTTTTCGAAAGATTTTGTTTTACATTTTTTATTCCTTTTTCTTTAATGTACCCATGAGAACAGCATGTTCAATGTTCGAAGTACCTTTGACAGAGACTGACCACAGCATGGAGAGTTTCTGGACAAATGGGTTTCCAAAATTTAAATGGGTCGTGTTATATTCTTTTTGCATGTAAAGAATATAACGTTTTCGGGTCAATTAACATTTTGTGCATCGATCTACGTAATTGGGATACAATAACATGCATCAACCAGGTCAGCAATCTTGACTAACCGATCTCGTTGGTCGGCTCTTACGACTAGCATCGGATACTGAAGACCAATTCTAAATCGGATCTGCACGAGTTTTGAACATAAGTACTGAGGTTCACTGTAGTTTCTGTAGACCGAATGGAAAAAAGCAATTGTGCAGTACAGTTACATTGATAGTCACTTTTTATTCAAATGTGAACAATATTAGATTGGAATTCGTTTTTTGAGACTTGGAGAAATTCCATTAAATATTCTGGGTTTAGCTTGGGTGTCGTGTTAAAGACAAGATATGTTTTCGATCAGTGCTTCAAAACAGCCGATATTGTTCTGTGAAAGGAAACGAACAATTAGAAACGCCTTGGAATAGCGAGAAAATATTCCGTTAAGCAAACTATCCGCCGAGTCAATTTGTACCAACCAATGAGTACCATACACTCTTCAAAAAAAGAAACGCAAAGGTAGATTATTAGTAAATTCATTGTACCTAATAAAGTCGATATATTTGATTTAATATCAAACATACAAATATGAAATTTTGGAGCTCGATTTATATACCGGATGTTTTGCGTCGTCAGGTTCAATGAACTACATACTATCTGTGCTTTTCTTTTTTTGAAGAGTGTAAATAATACAATTACGCGTGATGCCCGGACAATGCTGATACTATCAATTATTCGATGGATATCAGGCCTTTTATCTTTACGGTGTTAAGAAAACAACTACTCTACTGAGATTAGACAAACATGATTTCACGCCATATTAACTTTGAAAAATAAATTGAAATAACATCGGAAAAAGAAAAACAAATGTTCACTGGGCATGATGGATGTAGTAAAGAATGAGCTGTTAAAACAATACACACACTTATCATCTGTAACGTATTCTTTGTAATACATAAATGTGAATATGAAAAAATAATTTTGCCAAGATAGATCAAAGTAATACTACAACATCTTTTACATACATGTTTCCCTTGTGAAAAAAAAATGAAAACACATCTTTTACAGCTGGCATTTATTTTTGTGATATACAATTACATTTCATGACTTGATAGACAACACATACTTGAGTTCGCTATCAACACATGAGTACAATCTAATCAACGCCCTGCTCATACTGATTTAATGATGTGTCACACATTCAGCGAATGAAGCACAAAAGATACTTACTGAAGTTCATTTCTCATATAATTTCGTACTTGGCTAGCGTAACATTAATATTAATCTATGCATTTGATTTGTTTAATATCATGAGGTAAGGTATTTAGAGAAATAAACTAAGGGTGAAGTTCGTGCCACCAATCCTTTCTTAAAACAATGTGTATGACTTCACATCAATCTAATTTTGTTGAATACCATCTTATAAGGTGCCTCCACACACTAGTTTGCTCATGTCAAGCACCATATCCGTCAAGACTCGTGGGGGTACGTGCACAGAGGGGGCAAACTTGTTGTTACTATACCAACTACTGTATAGTTTACCACCCCAAACAGCCAACTGTTCCATGTGATTATTTCTGTGTTGTTTATACTTGTGAGGGAAGAGTTCAATTAACCCTGTTCCAGGAACCTGGAACAACGTGAGTGCTAACCCTGCACCGTGTACACCGATCAAAATATCCGTTTCCGTGATCAGTTGTATTTGTTCTCTGATGGTCAAAGTCTCCAACGCTACGGCTTGTACAGGAGTTTCAGGAAATGTGTTTTTCAGCGCCTGAATGAGTTCATCAGAATTATTAAACTGTCTCTCTATTATGCCTCTGACGTTTCGTGGATGGGCTATGTAGTTATTTCTCAACACAACAGTTATCCTAATCCTGCCACAAGCTAGTTTCCTGCCCAGAAAGCCTCCTGCACGATCAGAGACATCATAACGTAAGTCGTCGATGTAAGGAATAGATTTGGCTTTGCGCACAATGGGCACCGGTTTCAACTCGGGAACAAGGACAAACTGCTCCAGGAGCGTTTTTTTCTTCAACCATCCCACTCTGACGACCTTCTTGAACAGCAGTTCCCACAATCCGTCTAGGGCAGTAGCTGGATGGGCGTCAAGGATGAGAATGGTGGTCTCGGCAGCAGTTCTGTTCATTTCCCGGGTATTCAGATATGCGTTGTACAGCTCTATCACGGTCCAGTACATATTTGCATAGTCGATACGAACAATTCCAACAGTTAGTCCCTCTAAACTCTCCATATATTCCATCTCTGTTTTATTGGACACTGTGATTACGTTTGTCACATCATTCACAGATGCCTGATGAGGACGGTTTTCCAAGTGTCTCATCATACCAGGCGTTCCTCTGCATAGTGTTCTCAAAACGCCAAGTTCAAAATTGAAAAATTCCGTACTTTCATCTTGATATTTAACTTCAGTGATGTTCTCGCCTCCTCTTCTGGTTCCAAAAGCTCTGGAAGGATCTAAAACCATGTCCTCTAACTTCATACCACCAGATGGCAAATACCCCATGCTCTTTGAACATTCTCGTTCATGCCCATTTCTGTTCAACAACAATCGTTTAGTGCCAAAGAAAACCCGGCTTCCTGCGTTTGTTATTGCTACGAGGAGATAGGATATCGCAATGATATAAATGATGATTTTCATTCGCGACCTTAGTTTTCTTGTACGCCTGAATGACATATCATAATACATATCAGCTATATTTTAAACAAAAAACGCCAATAACTGATTTCGTCCTAAAAAGTACTCTTAACCAGCTTGAAACAGATTAAGATTTAAATAATCATTTTCTAATGTCTACGACGATTGCGGATTAAACATATACGTGAGATGATTAATGTCGTATGTCGTAGTTGAGTGCCTGTGAGTATACTGTCGAAACCAACCACTACTCAATAACAAATAATATTACACGTACGTTGTTGTTGATGAGCGACGCGAACTGCAAGTTTTTGTTTACAAATCTAGAACTTCGACGCAGTACAAGAGGACGGCCAGTGTGCTCCCTTACATGAGGTCTGTATCAATATTTGTGATGAGAGTGAAGGTGCAGCAGATTCAGGGCCTTTGTTCTCTGTAACAAATTTCACAAATCTGTTTAGAAAGAAAGGAGGTTATCCTAATTTATTCAAACAATTATTTTGCAGTTATATCAGCATCAGTTTGGTCTATACTGGTGTACTATTTCGCATACTGAGATAACATCAAATGACAAATCCTGGTTATCGGTCCTTCACCTCGATTGGAGTTTTATGAAAGTTTTGTACCTGTTTTTACATTTTCTGCCCAATCGAACTAAATGTAAATGATGCACCTGGAAATTATTCAAGCACCCCCTTTTTTGACAATGCTATCTGACAACATTGTTTCACTCGCCTTCAGTCTGAAATATGATGGGAAAATAAAACGAAATTAACAGTAACGAAAATACAGATGATGATGGCAATGTTCAATATGTAAAGGGGAATGTCCGAATGAACTCTCCATTCCTTAAAGTAATGGAGCCGAGGTCCATATATATATATATATGTGTGTGTGTGTGTGTGTGTGTGTGTGTGTGTGTGTGTGTGTGTGTGTGTGTGTGTGTGTGTGTGTGTGTGTGTGTGGTTTGTCAAATTGCTTTAAATATGAACATTGTAAAGGTAACATGCAGCTACACAGTATGCTACATATTACTAATACCGTCTTGTGATGCTGTAGTTTAGAACGACAATTGGACGTCCCCAAATGAAACGATGCGTGTTCGAGCATCGCTGGCGACACATATTTACGGACAATTTGTTGAAAACATTCACCTGAATATTTGAAACGTTGGTTCAAGATAATGTATAATTGACAAACAACTGCCCATTCCTGAAGAATAATTGAGCGTTTAAACAATAAGACGACGTCGCAGGTGTGTGTTAATTTCATTGCGCGAATAGCAGTTTCTACAGTGTTGTATTTGAGTCAAAATGGGAACCATAATAACGACGGATCTGGGAAGTTGTAAGATCGGGTATAAATGACCATTAATATGCGAAAACGCTCATTGTAATCTCATAAAGACAAATGAAATTCCTCGAACTCAGCAGCGAGTGTAACCGCCACGTGTTATTCACGGGCGGTTGCTTAATTAATTTCTAAATGGATACAAATTTGAAACGTGTTTAATTGTTTTGCTTTGCTCCATGGTTATAAGAATTTAGATACTGAATTTTACAGCCGAAATTAAAGCATACGTTGGGTTACTTGGATACCAAATTTACCAATGAAATCCTCCGGAATAACATATTTAAAGATTAACGTTCGGTGTTTTATAATGAATGTAGATGCCTCTTGCAAAATGTCTATGGAAAATTGAGTTTTAAAATCTATTTGATATATCAACTCACCTTTTGTATTTCAACATATACAATGCAGATTTAGTCGTCTCACATAACACCTCTTCATTGTCCCTTTTACCATCATGCGTAAACGTACATGTCTTTCTTTACAGATCAACCAATGTTTAAAACGCGTGGTGTGAACCACTGTCATGATAAAAGGCTGATCAATGAATAATTATGCATTTATACATAAGAGGACAACACATACCTGTAAAATGTAAAAATAATAACACAGTGGACAGAATGGCAGAGGTAGATTGCGACGACTGTTCTCGGTTGCTGTTAAATGCATCGACAACCGCGACATAGGGTGTCATCCGCAGCTGTACATCATGGTTTTTCAGTATTTCGTTTAAGCAAAAGATCAATACTACATATACATGCGATATCACTGTATGATAATTATCTTTATATTGTCTGAGCTCTTTTAACCAGGATAGATATTTTTACAGTGTTACCTCTGATTATATTTCTGTATTTGTAGGATTGTACTACGACGTGTCTTGATGGAAGTATTACAGTGCATATTTTTCATTATACTTTTTTAAATGTTTCACAAAATAACTTAACCTAGGAAATTTGACCATCATCTAAAACTGTAATTAAAATCAACACTTGTTAGGCAATACTGTAACTGTTCTGTTACCACCTGTTTTGTGTAGTCAACTTTGACGGCATATGGCAGATAACATAGACGGAAATTACAACATCAAAGTAATTGTTAATGTGATACGAGTAGAGTTGTTGGGGTATATAACTCCTTGGGTGTTGGCCCTCGGCACACTTGCTTGAATGAACTCAAAGAACCTCACAGCTCTCTCCTCTCTTGTTTAGGCAAGAAAATATTTAAATATTCCTATTTTATGACTAAAGTTCTCATTTCATTGATATTAGTATCTGGAAAATGTTAGAGTTGAATCAGTACTGCCGTATTGTAACGCTCAATCTACTATGTACACGTTCTAAATGACTGCCCATTATATATTATTTATCGTTAATACTCAGGCACTGTCCAGTGATGTTTGAAGTGTAATGCGTCGTGGGCTCCACCAGTAGTTTATGTGGCATTAATATGCGACAACAATAGCTCCCTCCTGTATTTCGACATCCATGATAATATACTCCATCAATGTCTATCATTATCTGTTCAACGTGGCAGTTGCATATACAGTCTATATTTTCGTGCAGTAGCGTAACGAACATGTAGCTTAGTCACAAAAAGGTTACTAGAGTTAACACAACTGTTTGAAGCAAGATTTATTTTATACGTTTTTCACATGTGTGTGTTCTAGTACTTATACTTTATGATATATGTATGTGTGTTTGAATCATGGATAATTAGTTCTTTTATATTGGTCACATTTATTTTTACCAGCATTGTTTGGAATTCTACATTTTCCATCAGTTGCGTGATCTTTTAGCACAGCAGATTTACCATAATATGCATCGTCACTCAGCATATGACAATAATGTTTTGCGGTAAAGCATCGATGGTTATGTACTATGACTATGGAATATATCATGTATTTTATGAAAACAAAACAAAATCTAGATTATTATAAAAGCAGAACTCTGACCCGTGAAGATCCGGGTACGAATTGGTCAAATGTCATGAACTTACATTCTCACAAATAACATCAAGTTGATTTAAATAATGCAAAAAAGTCTTAATTAACTATATATCGATTGAGTTATAAGTGATGACCTTTATATATATTTTAAGGGATCGACTTGTCGGAACTATCAGAAGACACAAACTAATACCCACTGAAACACTTTATAGTAAATTGTTACAATATACATAACTTGTTCAACAAGCTTGTCAGTTGACCAATTCTGTCAGAATAAACTCAACATATTCTGTGTTATGTATATGAAAAACCAGACAAATATGCAATAATGTACTCACGACACGGGAAAATGTTTTTTTGGTGAGCATACATGAAAGCAATTACATCTTCTGCATATGTATCATGTAAAACAATAAATGAAATCGTATCGTCTGATGCTGGTGTTTAGTTTTGCAATATATCATTACACTTCCTTGTGAACAACCTACACCTTTGGAGAGTACTGATTAACAATCACACTTCCAATCAATGCAGCACACAGAACACACTTGTCGATGTTGACCGACCTATTTATTTCTTTTAATATCCCGTCTGTTGAGATTTATTGTTCTCTAGAACATTTATATTTCGTACAGTTATTTTAACTGGTAGATTATTTTTGAATGTAGCGAATGAGCAAAATATTGACTGGGGTGATGTTCATACCAGTAAACCTGTATAGAAAATAAACTGTACGACAGAAAAGGAGCATCACAGTCTTGATTCTTTCAAATATCATATATAATAGAGTTTTTCACAGATTCTTAACCCCATGTCAAACACCATATCCGTCAAGACTCGTGGGGGTACGTGCACAGAGGGGGCAAACTTGTTGTTACTATACCAACTACTGTATAGTTTACCACCCCAAACAGCCAACTGTTCCATGTGACTATTTCTGTGTTGTTTATACTTGTGAGGGAAGAGTTCAATTAACCCTGTTCCAGGAACCTGGAACAACGTGAGTGCTAACCCTGCACCGTGTACACCGATCAAAATATCCGTTTCCGTGATCAGTTGTATTTGTTCTCTGATGGTCAAAGTCTCCAACGCTACGGCTTGTACAGGAGTTTCAGGAAATGTGTTTTTCAGCGCCTGAATGAGTTCATCAGAATTATTCAACTGTCTCTCTATTATGCCTCTGACGTTTCGTGGATGGGCTATGTAGTTATTTCTCAACACAACAGTTATCCTAATCCTGCCACAAGCTAGTTTCCTGCCCAGAAAGCCTCCTGCACAATCAGAGACATCATAACGGAAGTCGTCGATGTAAGGAATAGATTTGGCTTTGCGCACAATGGGCACCGGTTTCAACTCGGGAACAAGGACAAACTGCTCCAGGAGCGTTTTTTTCTTCAACCATCCCACTCTGACGACCTTCTTGAACAGCAGTTCCCACAATCCGTCCTCTGCCTAGTGTTCTCAAAACGCCAAGTTCAAAATTGAAAAATTCCGTACTTTCATCTTGATATTTAACTTCAGTGGTGTTCTCGCCTCCTCTTCTGGTTCCAAAAGCTCTGGAAGGATCTAAAACCATGTCCTCTAACTTCATACCACCAGATGGCAAATACCCCATGCTCTTTGAACATTCTCGTTCATGCCCATTTCTGTTCAACAACAATCGTTTAGTGCCAAAGAAAACCCGGCTTCCTGCGTTTGTTATTGCTACGAGGAGATAGGATATCGCAATGATATAAATGATGATTTCCAACGGCGACCGAAGTCTTGGTAGCTGGAATGTTAACATATTTATCAACTGTTTTGAACTGAAACGCCAATAACTGATTGTCTACTGAAGATATTTTGAAGGCGATCAGTAAAATATTGATTCCTGTCACTGCCTGTCAGTATGCTGAAGACGTCTTGGTGTGTTTTATACAAGGGTTTGGTCAGCCTGTTCCTTTCCCGACAGGAGGCACGTAACCACGTTTGTGAGAGGAAGTGCCGATTTAACTT